ATTTACATATATACCACCCAATTCTTATCTATTTATACATCGAACCCTAAGTCTATCAGCTCTAAGTATCACTATTTTAACTTCTAAAACTGAACTACATCTTTTCATGCACAAGTAATGTGAAGTATACGTGAAATTTGAAGTTCATGTCTTATATATGTGAATACATATGAATTGAATGGTATTTATGTAAATCATTCCTTTTTGAAAAAATTGTAGTGAAGTGACATTTGTCTTTAACAATTAGTCATTGCCATTAACATATGCATCACAAAATGATCGTTCAAGGAATAGATTTCAAGAGGATTACATTATTTAATGGTACATTTTGAATATCACATTATAAACACTTAATTCTAATGTGAAAAAAAAAAGACCCATTTCCACTTTTAAAGGGTTAAAAATGGTTGTATTTAGGAAGATTTGGGTGGTATAAATGTAAAAGAAAAATAAAAAATAGGTGTTAAATATGTAAATACACAGGAATTGGATGGTATGTATGTAAATTCGTAATTAAGAATAATTTCATTGGATTTTTTAAGGCACAAACGAATCAAATATTTCATTAATTCATATATTTCTCTAGATCTTATGTGCGCATTAATGTGCTCAACCATTATTGGTCAAGCTTGGAGAGCATTGAATAAGATTTTGTTGCCTTATATTTAATAACATTAAAAACCTATGCTCGAGAGGGGTCATTAAAAACTCTCACATCAACAAAAATAAATAATAATCATAATAATTATTATTATAATAATGCCACTTGAAATTTTTTTAGTTTAATAAATTCACCTCTAAGTTTTCATATATTTATCCCCTTTTACATTATTGTTTATATGTTTATGGAAAACTATAATCATCTAGAAAGTATATGATATGCCCTTGATATATTTTGATTATTGGCTAGACTTCGTCGATAGCCCCCCCTCAATCGGTTATGGAGTGGGTCGGTCGGCTATCTCCTCTGCTAATCGCACCGCTCGCGACCCTTCTTGCAACAAACATTTATTCTGGTTAATTGAAATTGATCAACTGACATCTGCCCAACTTGGACCATTTGATCCGACTGAACATCTTTCAGTTATACAATATGAAACTTTTGGGGTCATATATAGATATATAAGAATTGTGTGCTACATGTATAAATTCGATATTTTGGTTGCCGGCTAGCCTTCATCAGCCAGTTTCAAATATAAATTCGCTTTTTAGTGTGTTCTCAAATCTCCGCGGCGGTCGCTTTCTAGGTCACATGACCTCTTAGCCATCCGGTCGAGCGGGTCGAGCTCTAGTTAGTCCATTAGTTGTCTCATGTCATATTCTCTCCACTCCATCCTTCCTACCCCAAATATTTATTTTGCTTAAACTAGATTGATCTGCTGACCACACGCCAAATTTGAGAGGACCCCCATACCCTTTTAGTTATACAATATGAAAATTTGGGTGTGACATATAAATACAAAAGAATTATGCGTTGCATATTGTAAATTTCTCAAAAAGTGAGAAAAAGAAGACAAGATAAAAGAGACAATGATGAAAATTCACATGGGCTGCTTTGCCCTCACTGCAACGATGATGCTCTCCCTACACTGAGCATCGGGCCATTCGGTCAATAAAGCTCGGCAGGCCCGAAACAACTGCACAATTCCCCACTCCCAGCTGAGCTGTTTTACTCCCCCTTTACTCCCATAAAAGAAAGATCAATCCCACTAACTCAGAATCCAATAGAAATTAAAGATCAAAAAAGAGAAAAAAATATCGCACAGATGCATTCAATTGATCCACAAATCTTTTACAGAAAGTCAGGAACCCCGCGCTGAAACAAAACTCGAATTTTGCGCAGAAGAAGAAACGAAAGATTTCTAAAACAGTCATATTTGGTGGCCATCATCTTCTTCTTCCCAGTTCTTCTCCCCACCCATCAGCGATAGAAATTAGCACAAGCAGTTAAACATTATACAGAGTACACACCCTCACCACCCCCCTCATCTTAAACACTGCTAACCTCTAATGATTAGCAGTTAGTAGTACATTTTAAAAAGTTCTAGAAAGAATAGAAATTTCAACGACGAATAGAACTACATTTCCATTTTCCAAACAACATTGCTCACCCCTGCATCTTGAGATCTCTCCAAAGCTGCAACTTTTGCTCTGTGATTACCGGTAATGGCGGTGCTGTTGCTCCTCCCCCTCTCTCCATGCGGCAGCTCGTTGGCTTCGCTGATTAGGCCGCAGCGTATATCGGCTGGGGGAATGAAGCAGTCTACTGAGAGGCCGGGAACATTGAAAGCAACTTCTTCGATTGTCCATGCTTCTTCCATTCTGGTCTTCGTGTGGCTCATTGCTTCGTCTCCGAAGCGAAACAGGGTGACGATGGAGCGGCCGGAGTGAGCTATCATGACTCCTTCGACGGGGCGGTAGTCGTCCATGAAGGAGTTGATGGTTGTCTCCCAGTATACAGTGTCGCCTCCGGTGGCGGTGGATTGAATTCGAGTTAGGTGGGAATCCTCCATGTGAATCAAAAGTCCGGTTTTTTGGCTGAAGTAGCCGAAAAGAACGTGCCGTATGATCTCCGCTGTTCCCTCACTCCTCGCTTTCAGTGTCTGCGGGTCGGCTGTTAGCTTAAGAATGAAGCAATCCTCGCCATTGATCTTCTTCTCGCCAATGCATCGCGCATTGGCAAACATGCTCGCCGTAGTCAGCGGATCAAGGCCCTGCAAAAAAAATAAAATAAAATGAAAAAAAAAATTAACTGAAATCAAGAAAATGCAGCAAATTTCTGAAACGAATCGATGAAAATAAGCCAATCTGCACCTGAAGTGAGCGGCGAAGTGGCCGAACGGGACCTTTAGCGGCGTGCGCGCCGAGCCAAGGAGTGTGACGCCAGACGAGTTTACCGTTGGAACCCGCGTGCACTTTGCTCCCACCGACGGCGAGCTCGACGTACCACATATCAGGAGCCATTTTCCACAGCACGAAGCCACCGGACTCCACCGGCGAGCCCCTGTTCTTGGTCACTTTCTTTGCTGTTTCATACTCCGCCGCCACCATCCTGAGCTTCCCCATCGCATACGCGTTGCGGATGGAGCTCTGCACCTTCATCCCACCGGACGCCGCCATGTACTGCTGAAGAATGTACTGCGCCGACGAGCTCTCCTGCAAAATTAACACATTCTCTTCCTCAAAAATCAGATTTTTAGCAGCTTGTTTCGGCGTAAAAGGGTCAGAGGAAGCTAAGCTTACTATTGGAGTGTCCTTGATACTGAGATGAGGAAAAGGATCGAGAGAGCTGACGTGAATGGGAACAAGGGGAGCTCCCATGACACCAAGTAGAAGGCGGAGGTCGGAGCGACGATAACCGCTTCCACCAACGCCGGTAGCGGCGGGGGAAACAGAGGGAGTGCGAGAAAGCTGACCTCGAACCCATTGCCCCCATCCCTCCTTCCTGGAGTCACCGGAGGCACCGGGGAAGTCGTCGGCGGCGTAAGGATCAGGCCCCTCCATTAACGGCGCGAGAGCTTCTCCCACCGGCCGAAAACTGCCGGATCTACCTATAAACGGCTCCGGGAGGTTGGAGAAAGAATGGCTGCTCTGGTGGCTCTTTCTCCGGCGAGGAAGCAAAAGGCCAACCATCGGAGAAATGCTTCTCGCTGGACTCTCAGACCGCGAGCGAAACCTTGACCTCGATTTGCCCGGTGAAAGACCTCTCACAACTTCCTCCTTCAAAGCTGAGAAGAAGCCCTGTTTCTTCTCCATCTCCGTTCAGAAAGAAACCCAGCAGAACTAAGGCAAAATAAGGAAAAGAATGGCAGGAGCAGAACAATAAAACGTTAACAGAGTTGCGGAGAAGTATTGAGGGAAGACATAACGGTTAGATCTGGTTATCAAATTTGTAGCTTTTGCTTAAATTGTCAAAAAAACAGGAAATAGGGATTAGAAACAAATGAGAAGGAGATGAAGCAGAATGTGTTCGAATATATTTTTGGGGAGTTGGTGAGAGCGAGCTGGATTGGGAAGAAAGAAGAGCGACCCAACAGAAGATGAAGGCGATGAGCACAAGAATTAGAGAGTGGAGTAAAGAGCTGTTAGCGACAGATCACTTGTTGCCGGTGGCAACTGGGAACTATTATTCGAGGAGAAAACTGGTGTGAAGAGAGCCGTTTGAGATGAACCGGGTTGCTAATAAAATACAGGATTAAGGTTAAAAATGTAAAATTTAAAAAGGACCTAACGGAAGGAAACGGCGAAGCACCCGCCGTCGTTAAAGTTGGCTCTTTGGCGCGGTCACATAACCGCCAGTGTACTTAAGCTCGGTTACGACGTAACGTGGCTAGAGTAACGGTGCTCGCGTAACGTGGCTAGAGTAACGGTGTCCTATGAAGGAACCAGTATACTGTATTCGTCAACATGGTTGGTAAGGGCACCGTTAATTGAGCTTCTGGACGGAAAAGAGACGGCGGAGTGGCCGACCATCTATGTCACGTGACCTTGCCGTCAAATATTTCCTTATAATAAAAAGTGGCTGTTAAAAAATATCAAATTGTTATTTTTTAAAACTATTAGGGGTTCTCCGCCCCCCTCCACACCACCCGCCAGTGTACTTAAGCTCGGTTACGACGTAACGTGGCTAGAGTAACGGTGCTCTATGAAGGAACCTGTATACTGTATTCGTCAACATGGTAAGGGCACCGTTAATTGAGCTTCTGGACGGAAAAGAGACGGCGGAGTGGCCGACCATCTATGTCACGTGACCTTGCCGTCAAATATTTCCTTATAATAAAAAGTGGCTGTTAAAAAATATCAAATTGTTATTTTTTAAAACTATTAGGGGTTTTTAAGTAGCTCAGTAGAGCGCGATGTGCTTTATTAATTAATCGCATTAGTATTTTAGTCTTTGTTCATGATGACTCAAGAGTCCATTTATTTCTTACAAAAGAGATAAAATTATATTAATTAAATTTAAGATAGTAGAGTAGCTAATTATCATCTTAGTATAATACGAAAATTCAACATGCTCAACAAAAGGGAAAGAAACTAATAATGATACCGGATGTTTTTACGTGGGAAACCCGAAAAGAGAGAAACTACAAGGTCTGACCCAACTAAAGAGTTTCACTATAAGAAGATGATTATAATTGCAACCACTTGACAGACTGGAGCTTGATTTGTTAGCTCATCTAGCTCAGCTCATGTGTCACTTTTCTAGTTGAACTCGAGTCGGCCATCAACTGGCTTCTCACTTACACCCCTATTTAAATTGACTGGAGCTTGATTTGTTAGCGCATCTAGCTCAGCTTATGTGTCACTTTTCTAGCTGAGCTCGAGTCGGCTCATCAACTGGCTTCTCACTTACACCCCTATTTAAATATAATGAGCAAAAGAATTTTTGTATCAGGTTTCAATTATGTTGAGGGAGTAATAAGAGATTCGAAAGTGGGGGTCTCATTGGACCATTTTGATGCTTCTATAATGGCCATGAGAAGATTCGGAACAAGGGGATTGTGACAACATAGTTGAGTCAAGTGGGGTTCACTCCCATAAGCCCTTGTAGTACTATGTCTTGAGATCATTAACAATAAATCAAAATCCTCCTCACTCTCTCCTCTTAGTTGCTCGCAGACTTCTGTTTATATCACGATTCCTTCTCAATTCTCTTTCATTTGAAGTTGACAATAAACAATGAGGCGATCATCGAAACAATAAGTTTGAAGTTGGTGATAGAGAGTGAGGCAATCACATGCCAAGGAAGGGATGACGGAGCCGCGCCGGTGCACTTCTTTTTGTGCTAAATCCCTTAAATCCATAGTCGAACTTAATAAATTCTTATTTATGTTGAAAAAGCCGGATAAAATTATATTTAATGGAGCTGTGGATTTAAACACCTCATGAAATCGATCAATTTTAATTGAAATTAAACTTTGCTCAAGCGAAAATTAAATCATTAATTTTAAACTAATACATTAACTTAATCAACATCCCCTAAGAATTACAAAGCCAATTAGTGAATCATTACACAATGCCCTCAAAACATCCCCAATTAGAAGATATTTCTATTACAAGATTTTATGTTACTCCCAAATCCATCAACAAAATGGTCCCAAATTAGAAGAAGAGTTACTCCCAAATCCATCAACAAAATGGTCCCAAATTAGAAGAAGAGTTGGAATGGCAAAGGATACAAAGTTAGGTTGATGCACTAAAAGCCTTAATTGCATTTATTCATTACCTTAAACCCCCCTTCTCCCTTGCCCCATTCCAACCAATTTTCCCTTCATTAATTAGACATTCTACCTCCCAATTTTTCAACAATGAGACTTTCATGAGAGTTTGGTATCTTATTTGTAGGTACATATTTTCTCCATCAATCTACATTCTTTGTCTCTATTTGTATATTTGCTCCATTCATTTATTCATCTTTGTACTTCAAGGAGACACACACACATATAGGACTTTTACATAGATACCACACAATTCTATGCATTTATCATTGCTTAGCGCAGTTAAAAGTTATTGTGGTGCATTTGTAAATGTTGGGAAAGGTTATTCGTAACAGTTTCTACGAAGACTGCTGCGATATTTAAGAGTTTACCAGCTTATACTATTAATACTGTGAGAACCAATGAAAGCACTTCAAATTTGTTGATTTTGTAGCATTTATAAGTTTTGTGAGATCTTTAGAAGCTATTAGCATTTAGATGTGCTGCTAAAATGAATAAAAAATACTTCTAATTTATAAAAGTTTATAAACCCTATAGTATGGTGGGCTATGGTAGCACTAATAAAAACACTACTAGTTTGCACGGGATATGGTAGCACTAATAAAAACACTACTAGTTTGCACTGTGATAGATAAATGTTTTTAATTGTGGTGGTATATATATATAATACACTACTAGTTGATTTTGTAAAAATTGAAGTTTAGATTTTATATATGTAAATATATATGAATTGAGTGATATGTATGTAAGTCCCTCTCTCCCTCTCTCTCTCTCTTAAATACCTAATATATTAAATCTGGCTGATCTAATGTAATAAAAAAACTAGAGTTTGTCAAAGTTTTGATCTTGAAGTCTAAGTTGACATGCCCAGACCTTATCTTTAATGAACTCATGACTTGAATTTGATTTTTAATTCCTCTCTCCCATGTTCTAACTCGAGTATATAAACACTTAATTTCTTAATTAACAAAGAATTGATCATATGTAACTCAAAATCTTTTATTTTTTTTAATTTGATTGAGATAATTTAAGACAAAATTAGTTTTGTAATGAAGTAAAAAACAGCTTGCTCAAATTGATCAAACATTGCATAATAGAGATATTCGTTCAGAGTTTAAGATGTTAAGATTTTTCACTTATGAACTCGACTGCCAGCTCCTTTCGGCCTGACTAGGTTTCACTTAGCCCCAACCAGGTTCCACTAGCTGAGGTCAGGTTCCAATCAGCCTAACCGAGTTTCATTTGTTCCGATCAAGTTCCAGCCTATTTGACCTTCTGACAGGTTTCAGTCAACCCGACAGGTTCCAATCAGTCATCTTCAGCCAACTGCATGCGACTAGTGGCATCATTGTAAATTTATAATATTTGTTGTCCTATAAATGTAGGAGCACTATTTGTAATGAAAAAAAAAAGGAAAAATACTAATGTGAGAAAAATGATTACCATTCACTCCTCTCTCTCTATATATCTCCTTATTTACATTGAATACAGTGGATGTGATTAACATATAAGCTTGGATTCGACATGAACATTAAAAGCAATTCTTATTTTATAAAAAAACCTAGATATAAAATGATGATATTTAAGACATTTTCTATTCTAATCATCGAATAATCTATTTTGCATCATAATAATCAATACCGCCAAGACAACTGAAAATCATTCTGATTTATTGCACATAAAAGCTGTGCATTTGACCATGTGGATCCAAATTAAATGAAACCAGTTCACATGAACATATTCTGCACTAAAAACTAGCTTTATTTAACAGCCTTACTCTTCATTGACTTGTAGACAAACCTTAATCATCAAATAATTAATGAAAAAAATATTAAGTCAAATTATTTTAATCAAAATTAACTTGAGTATGGACTAATTTGTAATTAATTAAAAGTATGTATTACAATTATTTTAAAATGATAGATATTATGGTTCTAATTATTTTTTTCACTTTTAACTTATATGCATTTTTGGCAACACTAAATAGGTATTATGATAATAATGTCTAGGAAGAATCTCTTATATAAGTAGAGTGATTAGCATTAATTACTCATTACATTCTGCTAATTAAAATGATTCCTTTTTAAATGTAGAGCCATTCGCATGGATCTTCGATAATAACCTAACTTTGATGCCTCATTGCTGTAATTGTACTATGTTTTTAATGTGTTAATATAATAATAATTATGAAGTTAAACCTAACACAATCAACCTCCGAGCTTTACTAATGCTCTCATGAACTGAATTATTTTACAAAAAAATATGATTAAAAATGGTTGTGTTTAAGATAATATAATAAGTTAATGTCACTGCCACACATAATGAGTGATTTATGAATAGAGTCTAATTTTTTGATAATGACCGTTTCCACTTTGCTCTACATCATTAAATTTAAAGTACCAATGATTTATTTAATCATATTAGATTAGTGTGTTAATTGAGTTTTTTTTTTTTTTTTTTTTTTTTTTTTTGTCATAAAGTCATAAACACTTCTAAATATTTTTGTTGAATTCTTTTTAGGACATAGTATCTCATATCATTCGTGAGTATATACAATCCGGTGAAAGATGTAGTATTATAAAAGAGATTTCTTAGAGGGAGAGAGAGATGTACCAAAAATCTTAAGCGGGAACCTTAGAAAATGTAATGAATGCTTATCTCTGATCAAACAGAGGAGTGTGGCCCATCACAGGTTCCCAGAGTTATAAGGTTTCAGAGGGAGAAAGAAGAGAGGGAGAGAGAGAGAGATCGGAAGCCCCTGGGCTCTTCCGTCTTTTTCCTCACATTTTATGCATAAGAGAGAAATTATAAACTAATCAACATAATACATCTTCTACAATACCATGAATTTCTATGATGTGAATGTCAGTGTTAGAAATTTATGTTTGAACTTTATGACACAAATTCTAAAAATACATGATTTTTACATATCAATAATGAAGTAACATATACATGTATTCATGATTATAAGATTTTATCTTAAAGAGATAGAGTTTCTCTCTCTAACCCCTTGAAACTTTCTGTACTTTTTAATAGATGGAAATGTACGAAGTGTGTTAGAAGAGATATGACCCATTCTCTGAATTATGCTCTACTTAACTACCATCCATTAAAAGAGTTACTAACCAATAGGATTTATGATAATTTAATAAATTAATTGATTTTTATTATTAAAATCAATGACATAAGTTAGTAACCCTTATTCATTTTAGGGATTACATGAGTTACAAAATAGATGTCATAAGTTATGAGTTAAGAAAATAAATAACTTAAGTTATCAAAATAAATCTCATAAGTTATTAAAATAAATGTGAGTCATAAATAAAAATTTAACAGTCAGGTGTTGCAAAATAAATGTGAGCCATAAATAAAAATTTAACAGTCAGGTGTTGCAAATATAACATCTGTCCCTTGTCTTTACAAAGGGATTGACAAGTGTTCTTACTATTCATGACGGCTTCTCTCGATAGCTGCTATTGCATGGGTGTATTATGATGTCCTTTTGGGAAGAATGAGCATAATTGGATCACAGACGGGTTCGATTTAGCTACTTCGGTAAGTGGGCTCCAAGGGGGTCTAGTTCAGCCACTTCAACAATTGGCCGCTTTGGTTCTATTACTTTGACAAGTAAGCTAACTTTAGCAAGAAAAATATAAGAAATTTCAGGTACACCGGTATATACGTATATGTCGGTAATTGCATATACAATTTCATATTTTTAGAATATCAACCGCACAATTCTTAAGTTCTTACATATATTACATGAAAGCATTAATGTTTACATTTATGCCACTTAACTTTTTAATACCACATCAATAATATCATCATCATTATCTTTTTAAAAGTGAAAAACATATATTTTTTTTTTATTTTTATGCAAAAGTTTATGAGGTCAACAAGTTATAAGTGTTAATGTCAACTTTAGGTGCTAAATATATAAATACGTAAAAAGTTTGTGCTATGTATGTAAATCTTAAAATCA